ACATGAACCTATCTCAATTCTTTGTTAACAACCTTTTACTGGTGGCTTTCAAGAACCTTCTATTAATATCTTACAAACTAAAACCTTCTTAGAAATGCCTTATAAAATGGTTAATATTTCTTATAAATATGTTTATACTTTCTTAAATCAACAAAAAGAATATGCAAAAGCTAATAGACTTTTAAAAAAAACAATTCAATTGGGGTTAAATATAGAACCGTTGGCAATACAAGAGTTAACCAATTTTATGAAAAACTTTATAACAAAACATACACCAAATCAGAAATCACCCCCAAAAAACCCTAAAACTTTGTTAGCTAAATCTTATAATATACTAAGCAGCTCTGATGAATCTGATGGCTTTGATAGTTTTGACTCAAATTATGATAACAATGAATTAGATTCTCAAGATATTGAGAATATAAATCTATCTTTAATTCAGAACTCTATTGTTCATACAAAAAAAGGTGCTCTATACAAAACAAGGTTTAAGGAATCATATGAAGAAAACAGAAAAATGCAAAATGTCAGAAAATTAAAAAGTAAAAATTTACAAAATGTTAGCAGTGTTATAAAGTTAAATATAATAAAGCCGGATATGAAAAATGGTATCAAAAAAATCAAATTCTATATTCTTTTTAGGTATAAAATATTGTGTTATTGAGATATGTATATGTGCATAAATTGACATTTATTGCTTTTAATGTTTACTAATTATTTTGAATTGTTATATATTTGTAAATAAGTACTTATCTGAAGTTATATAAAGTTTTTGTCTTGAAAATAACTTTATAGAACATAGTATTTACTATGTTCTATAAAGTTATTTTCAAGACAAAAACTCTATATGTTATTATTAATAAGTTGGTAGTTAAAGTTACTCTAAATAGTTTATATTAGAATTAAAAAGTTGGTGGTTAGAATAGTTAGTAAGATATTGATTTAAAATTTGTTGTTAGCAAGTTATAATTAGCAAGTTATTAAGTAGATTAGTGGGTAATTGTATTAGATTAGCAATATTGTAGTTAGCAGGTTATAATTAGCCTGTTATTAAGTAGCTAGTTTAGTAGTTGATTATTAGATTAGAGTTAGAATATATTTAGAAAATAATAGTTAGAGTTAGAAAGTATTGTTAGTTTGTTAATTAGCAGATTGTTAGTTAGTGGGTTAGAGTAAGATTTAGAGTTAAAAAATATATATTAGTTAATAGTTAGCAGGTTAGGGTAGGATTTAAAGTTAAAAGGTATATATTAGTTAGTTAGTAGTTAATAGATTAGGGTTTAGAGTTAGAAAGTATATATTAGTTAGTTAGTAGTTAGTTTAGAGTTTCAAGTTAGAAAATATTTTGTTAGTAGTAGTTAGTTGGCAGATTTAGAGTTAGAGTTTCAAGTTAGAAAATATTTATTAGTAGTAGTTAGTTAGCAGATTTAGGGTTAGAGTTTCAAGTTAGAAAGTATTTATTAATAATAGTTAGTTGATAGATTTAGAGTTAGAGTTAGAAAGTATTAGATAGTAGATTGTAAGTAATATAGTATTAACAACAAGTGATTAAAACTTGTTTGCTATTGGGGTATAACAAATTATAATATAAGGGTGTGGTGCCCTAGAGAAGTGGTCAAGGTGTCACCCCCCAAGCGGCAAATTGACAGTTCAAATCCCACTGGTGACGTTTTGAAGTTAAATCTGTATTCGGTAATTGTGGCTTCTAATCGGTTAAGCATAAAACCTGTAATCCTGGTTCCACCATCTTGAATGGGAGCTTGCGGACGTAATGATGCACTACGTCGCAAATCCAGGAAACTGGAAAAAACCCACAAGAATCCGTTTGGCAAGTCCCAAGTTAGGAGGTAGTGAAAATCAGTCCATATAAGTATAGGCCAAAAAAGAAGGCTGGTACTATGATCAGAACGAACCTAATAAGGGCAGGTAGCTTCAGTTACTAAATCTGGCAATAACTACATGCTTGGGACATGGAAAGTTGTTCGGTAGGCAGTTGGTATGAGGGTAAAGTAGCTCTTAGACCGTTGAAATAAAAGGGTCGAGCCTGTTATATCTGCAATATGTAGTGAATCAGGTTAGTAATAGGAGGATCGTAAATCAGAGGGTTTAAATAGGCAACTTCCATAGTTGGGTTGTAGATATGGCAGCTAGTATAGAACCTTTGGGCGGGCTACTTAAATTAAGCACCAAAAGTGCACGTGTGGCTAGTTGTATCTTCGCTCATGTAACAAATATTATGTTGACTCATAATAAAAAATCGGCCATAGTACCTGGCCTTTAAACGGGGAAAAAAAAAAACCAAATTATAATATGACAAATATATACTATTTATATAAGTTAATTAGTTAATAATTCATTATCACATCTATAATTTTTTTTTTTTTTAAAGTATTGGCAGCCTCGCTAGTATCTTTATTAGATCAAAGCTAATGTAAAATATTATATACTATCTAAGTTACAGATCTGACATTATTCAGCTTTCTCTATAGATATCCAAGTGTGGTCTGCCTCATCAGTTAAGGCTATTGCCTATACTGGAGAGCTGCACCAAGCTAGCTAATGAAACCATAATAAAATAGTTTCAAATCGAAAGAATTTTTGACTATATCGAATTGGCAATTTTCATTTTCTAAACTATTCTCCTTTTTCAAATAATACTCTAAAACTAATTTTCTGTTAATAAACAATTCTATCTCTTTTCTCAATAAAGAATTATTGCCAGAATTCTTTCATTTATATTTGCATTTTCTTTTTCTCTTCTTTCAATTTAATCTGTCCTTTCCAATTAGAGACCTAGCTCTCAGAAGTCTTCTTATGATAGTCTTTCCTTCTTGCTTCACAGTGCATATTGTTTTTCTACTTCTTGGAAGTTTCTTCTAACAGGCTTTTCTAGGTATATTCTTCTATACGCTTTTTTTTCTTCAAAGTGCTTTGGGCCTTCTTTTGGTCTTTTCACTTCTGAGTCTCTAATGGTTTGCTTAGATTCTTCTCTTTTTGTGGTCTGAGTATATAGATATTCTTTTTTCCTCTTCTTTGTCTTTTTCTTTCCTTTTTCTCTCTAAACTTTGGTTCTCTTTCCAAAAAATTCTCTTGAATTTCATTCCATATACTTCGATTTTCAAAGATTTCTACAAAGATCTTCTCTAGTATCTTTAGTAATATATCCTTTTTTTTCTTTTTCTAGTTCTTGGCTTTTTTTCATCTGTATGTTGTTGTATTTTGAGTCCATTTCATTTCAGTATTTCTTTGAGTCTTTAAACACTGTATCTATTTTATAAGCAAGTCTTTTTTTCTCCTTTTTTATATTCTACTATTGATCTGTAGATCTTTAATACTTAATTGATATATTACTTTGATCAGCTATTCTGTTGGATTTGTTATTTCGGTCTTGGGTCTTGGGTCTTCTTAAGATATGTCTAGGTTTCTATTTTAACAAAACCTTCAGTCTTTTGTTTTCTAGCTTTCTTTCTCTTCTTTCTTTGATCTTTCTTTTT